CTGAGAAGCTCCACCCCCCAAGTGGGTCCTTGGCGCAGCCTGGAATTTGTAACATATGCCCCTGGTCAACTCACCAACTCAATGAACAGCTCTTTCATGACACTCTCCTCTACCCCTTCCAATACCACCCACACTGCCCCCTGGTTCTCCAATGCCCTTGCTCATTTCACTGAGAAAAGAGAAGTTATCAGAAGAGAGTGATCACAGCATAACCAATCTCCCGTGTGCCCTCTGCCCTTGTCTTGTCAACATCCCCCACCCCAATTTCCTACTAAGAGTTATGTGATCATTCACTCATAATAAAATCCAAATTCCTTGCAGTGACCTAAAGGTGCTACAGGGTCTTCCCACCAACAGGTCTCTGATTTCATCTCCCCTGGTCTTCCCTTGGCTTTGTCTATTCTGCTCACACTTATCCTCTTGTTTTTGCTCAACACCCAAGTACATTCCCACTGAATGCTCATTCTCCCCAAAAGGTATGTGTGCTTGCTTTCTCATTCAGGTCCTGGCACAGAGGTGTGCTCTTCTCAGAGGCTTTTGCTGTAGCCACAATAGCACCTCCACACCTCATCACTCCGTTTACGACCGCTTCATTTTCTCCTGACATTTGTTTATCTTCTGTCTCCCTACTTGAATGTAAGCTCCATAACTATGGTGAGCTTATATCTTTCATTCATGGTGGTAGCCCGGCATCTGGTAGTGTCTAAATGTTAATATTTGTCACATGATAAACGAACAAACCAATGAATGACAGCTCATGTTCTAGTCTGTATTCCAGAGTTTCTAGCCTGGCATTCAAGGCATTTGGGGACCTGCCCCAGACTTTCCTTTAAGTTTCATTCCCTTCTTAGCCCTTTCCACCACCCCTTCCTGGGTCCCAAGTCTAGATGGTCTCCCATCTAGACTTTTCTGACCAGCCCATCCCTTCTGTGATTCCTTATGTAAGTTCCTCCATCTGGGAAGCCTTTCCTTCTTCTTTGGCAAAATCTTACCTACTTATTCAAGAATATTCTGCTTATTATTCAAGGTCCTGCTGCAGCTTCTATGTAGAACCATCCTCACCCTCCCAGAACAGTGAATATCAGGGGACCCTCCTCCTTATAAAAGAGACTCCAGGGAACTCTCAGCTTCTTTATGACACTGCAGGGAGGGAAAAATGCCTCCCTGCGAGTTACCAGAGGGTGATCCTCAGTTGAGACCTGTTAAAACCTGTTGAGAAGATCTCAGGTCCTTGGCCTCCTGAACAAAGAACTGGATGGAGACACACAGATTGGAAAGTAGCAGCAGAGTTTTAGTGAGAGTGAGAATGAGTGAAAGCAGGAAAGTACAGTCCCCAAGAGAGGGAGAGGGAGGGGCTCTGGCGAGGTGGCCCAAGAGCAGGACCTGTAGCTCAAGAGTACCAGTGCCTCGGTTTGGATGGGTATTTATAGCAGGGGAGGAGATGCAGGTGGGGCTTAGGAGTGGGTTTTGGCGATTAACTGCATATGTAAATTCAATGAGCTATAATTAGGGGCTCTATTTCAAAAGGGGAGTTCTGGGGCAGTTCTGTGTGGAACTAGACTACCTGTTCCATGTGAGATGATGTGCGAGGAGGCCACCTGGGGACATGAGCTGGTTTGGGTACTTTCCCTAAATTTCTTGCCTCACCTTCACCTACCAATGAGATCCTTCTGTACTGTCTGCCCTAAACTCACCTCCAAGCCCTCAAAAGTCATCAAGTCTCCTTGTCCCTCCATTCCCGGGTTTTCAAGAGTTAGGGGGAGAATACGAGTTTCTCTTTTCACAAGAGAGGCCAAGGAGTACTTTAGGTACAACTGGAGAGCCCCTCGGTTCCCCTGAAGAGGAGAAGTAAGCCCCCTTGAGCAGGCTGGGCTTTGAGTGTTTATTCAATACATCCAAGTGTCTCTCCACACCTACAGAAATAGAAACATCTCCAAACGCCAGCACCCCAGGAAGTGGGCAAATAAGAAGGGGGGTCAGGGACTAGGCCTGGATGTAAATGCATGATAATGCATGATAAAAGCATCAAAGAGGTGGGGTCACAGAGCAGAGGCTGACTTTTCAATCCATGCAGAAGACCAGGTTCCAGAAGGCCAGTGAGAACCGCTAGAGAAGAATATGCCAACATGAGCTCAGCCTGCCAGACTCCTTTGTTGCTCTTCTTTCCAAATGTCAGCCCACTATTTTAAAGGTCAGCTGGGACAGTGCAGAGACTGTTATTTTCACCTAGGAAGACTCACAGCTTGAGGAGGTGATGGGGCAGAGCATAAGCACACCTTGTGTATTTTCCCCCATTGCCAGACATAAGCAAACGGTGATAAAAAGAAATCAAACAGGGAGTGTGGTCTCCAAGCAAAGCAGTTCTCAGGATCTGAACTAAGGTGTCAGCCATCCCATGTGTGCATCAGGTGACTGAGCCCCTGCCAAGTAGTGCTGCTTTGACACACACTTGTCAAAGTGTCATACACCTCTCAGGATCACCAAGAGCCTGAAAGATGCGTATGGTTGGCAACACATTGCAGACACAGCATAGTAAAGTTGACTGCTCCACATTCAAATCAGGTGATGAGTTCTTCATGGGAATGACAAAACAATCAGGTGTACCACATGCACACTATCTTGCCCGACCAGCTCCTCAAATGTTTCAAGGTGTAAAATTATACTTAAATTATTTCCAAAAGGTGAACATGGACACAGCCTGAAATTCTCCCACAATGGGCCCTTGGGATCCTGTGGTAGGGGTGAGGTCGTGAATCTTCTGAGTGAAAGGGGAGGAAGAACATTTAAATACAAATAAAACAAAATGCAAGCTGGAGTATACATTTCTTTTAAGTAAGCGCCTCTCCAACTTTTTGGTGGCAGGAATCCTTTCTATTCTTTAAAATTATCAATAATCTCAAAAGAACTTTGTTTATGTGATTATATCTATGGGTAGTGTACTAGTCAGCCTTCCATTGCTGTAACAAAACACCTGAGAAAGCAATTAAAAGGAGGAAGATTTCTTTTGACTCATGGTTTCGGAGGTTTCAGTCCATGGTCAAGTGGCTGCCCTGATGTGGGCCTGAGGCAAGGCTGAAGGAAGTGATGGAGCAAAACTATTCACCTCATGGTAGCCGGAAGTAGGCAGAGAGACACAGGAAGGGGCCAGGGACAAGATATACCCTTCAAGGGCTGGCCAGCAGTGACCTACATCCTCTCTGGGCCTCCCCCTTTGGAGGAAGGAATTTCATGTCCAAACTGTAACAGGCACTTACTATATAGAAATGACAACAGAATTTAAAACACAAGTTTATCAATTCATCTAACAATAATCTATTACATGTTCACCTAAATATAATTTTTTGAAAAATAACTATAGTTTGCAAAATGAAAAATAAAAATCATCTCCCAAACAAAGAAGGAGGAGGTTGTTTTCCATTTTTGCAAATCTCTCTAATATATGGGTTCATAAAAGACTACTGGGTTGTTGTGACATCATGTATCATGTAGCTCCTAGAAAATTCCAGTGTACATTTGTACAAAATTGAGTGAAAAAGGCAAATACTGTTCAGTATTAGTAGGAAAACAGTACTGATCTCATGGACTTCCCTAAAAGATCTCAGAGGCCTCCAAGTATCTCCAGCCCATAATTTCAGAATCACTGTTCTGGTTAATATGCTAGCTAAAATACACATAGACCTTTCTGTGGCTTGCCTTCTGTTATGGAGTGAATGTTTGTTTCCCCCAAACTCATATACTGAAATCCTAACCCCAATGTGACATATTAGGAGGTGGGGCCTCTGGGAGGTGATTAGATCAGGAGGATGGAAACTTCATGAATGGGACTAATGTCCTTATAAAAGAAACCCCAGAGAACTTTCTGTGACCTAGGACACATACAGGCACAGCCTCCAGGAGACAAATCTCCTCTGACGCAGATCACAGTTACCACTGTGCAGGGTGGGACTTTACCTAAGAGGAACTCCCTAGTTTAGCTTCTGGAAAAACCCCACAAGTGGCTTTTCCAAGGTGTCTTTGATGACAGGATCTCCCAAAGAAACTCCTTTCTCAAGCAATGCTATCCATCAGCCTCACAAAGTGATGGCCACGAGCCCCTTGTAGAAAGTGTATGTGTTCTGCATTCTGTAGTAAAGGGGACATTAGCAGTGACCAGTGCCCATGTCCCCCCCTTGCTTTGCTGAGATCATCTAGCCTTGTGCTCCCTGACATCACAGTGGCCCTGACATGTGAAAACCACACAGGCCTCTTCACTACTTGGCCTTTTGTGATGCTGTGCTAGGCAAGCCGGCTCCTGCTAACAGATGGACAGGAAACCTCACCATTCACAAACTTGGCCACGGCATGTTTATCAGAGGCATCACACATGTCACCTCTGTGAAAAGGCCCTATCAACCCACGTGATTCCCAGCTCCATGGGCTCTGGATGCTTCCCTGCTATCCAGGTAGGACCCGCCCACACCTATGACAGCATGCTTTTGGGTCTGGAGCTCTGCCCAGTGGGATCCCAGCCTTTGGCCAAGGACTCCGCGCCTGGAGAGTTATGGCTGGCTCTCCCGTTTGTACTATGACGTCGAGAAAGACTCATTCGAGTTCCCTTTGTTGGGAAATCTCCAAGTAGCTGCAACTCCCACGGTTCTCAGGAGGAGAGGGACTTGCTTTGGGTTGGAGGGTTTGAGCAAGTCTTGGATCTGCTCCAGAGTCACTCACTGAGTTGCAGCTTCTGAAGGTGACTTCAGAGAGTGGAAGTACCCCCAAACTTTCCTTCCACACCCTCAATTTGCATCAGTTGGGCCGGGGTGGCGGGGGAGACGGCTACCCCGAAGCCGATGCATCTTGGTGGTGCCCACTCACCCCGGAGGTGCCCCTCCCATCCCGCACCCTAGAGATGCGGCTTTTTGTGACGGAGCCCAGGGTAGCCGGGCCTGGCCGGGGAACTGGCGGCCGGGGCGGGCCGGGGGCGGAGCGGGCGGCGCTGCGCTGACATCCGCGGCAGAAAGGGGGCGGCCGCGCCCATTTCCTCCGTTCAGCTCCGCTCGCCCCGGCCGGTGGGATCCGCATCGGCGCCTCCGGGGTGTTCGCCGCGGCAGCTCGCTGACCCACAGTGCGCGGCTCTGGCCAGGTGGCCGCGACCTCTCGGCGCGCTCCGGGCCCACTGAGCGGTTGGCAGCCCGGCTGCCCGCATGGACGCGGCGCTGAAACGGAGCCGCGCGGAGGAGCCGGCCGAGCTCCTGCCGCCTGCCCGGGACGGGGAGGAGGAGGAAGAAGTGGGGATGGAACAAGAGCTGGAGGAGGAAGAAGAGGTGGACCCCCGGATACAGGTAAGGACATCTTGGGGACCGGGGTGCGCCCCGCATCCCGGCCCTGCCAGGGCTGCGGCGGAGGTCGGTGTCTACACGTACCCTCGATTCGCAGCCGCCAGTGTCCACGATCGCGGCGGTGGAGGAGCGAGAAAGCCACCCTCACCCCTATTTGGAGGCTGCAGTGCCCGCGTGGACGCGGCCTGGCTGCTGCGGGGATCCCCCCGCAGACCCTCGATGGAACTTGGGGGGTCGCTGCAGCATGCCCAGAGATTCCGGCGGCTGTGCAACAAAGGGAAAAAGGGGGGCGGGGGCGCCGGGCGGGTTTGGGGTACCCTGGCCTGGCTGGTGGCGACGCGGGCACTGTACAGCCTCCTGGCTACCGGTTGCGGGTGGTCCGGCCCGCGTGGGCGCCCGCACCAAGCCGGGTGGGCATCGCCCGCCCCTGCAGCGTGGGCTGGCACCCGTGCCCTGCGCGCTGAGCCCGCACCTGGCGGAGGTGCCCGGCTTTGGCCACCCTCCTATGATGCATTGTTAGCACACCTAGGGGTCTCCTGTCACCTTGGGCTCTGGTGGCCCGAAACGCTTCAAAACCCTGCTTTTTCTTGTTTTGAGGTCGGGTGTGAACCGAAGTCAGGGACAGCTGCTGCGCAAAGCTGACGACGCGTGGAGGCGGCAAGGAGAATGGCTTGGCTTTCTGTGCTGAGACATGATTAAAAAACAATTTCCAAGCTAGATCTAGGAGTGACAGCTTAACCTCTTCAGTCCCACCCCGCTCACCTAAGCACAAAGCACACCAGATTCCTTTCCGCGACCCGTTTTTCTACCTTTTCCATAAATCATTTTTTCAACAAATGATTGCTTTTAAGCATGCTTTGCCATTTCTGGAGGCCTAATTGGGTTTCAGTGCCTATATCAATTAAAAGCCCACTTAACTCAGTCGTTGGGGTTTAAATGAATCGTTTGGCAGATTAGCAAGATAAAGCTCATTGCACGTCTTTGCATTTGAAATTATTCTCTTATCTAAAACCATCAGTTTGGAGACTAAGCCTTGTGTTCTTCCTATGGAACTCTGTTAGCAAGATCCTTTGTTCACCAGAATAAAGATGAGTTAACTTCACGTTGGGTAATCTTACAAAATGTCAGTTTGTAAATTAATTTAAAAACAACAGCTAGGTGGGCTGAATAATTGGCAGTTGAAATAAAGACCTTCGTCTCCTGATAGGAACGTACTCAACCACTGATAGTTAATAGAAGGCCCTTAGTTTAAATGATCTCACTGGGTTTGTACTTTTGGCCTTGGCTGTTTCATTGTTTTCTCTGCAAAGTTCTTGCTTGAAGGCAGATGGTGCTGTTTTGATTGGATTACCCAACTATTTCTAACAGGTGAGTTTATCCGAAGGCACTTACCTGGAATAAGTATTTGACCTTCTAAGGAAGGACAAATTCCTAGGACCTTAAGACATTGTCAAAAACACCATCAACAAAAAGGTTTCAGAAGTTTTGATAGTTTGCACTATCAAATACTTCAAGTAGTTTCTTGAAGAATTAACTGATTCTTTCTTCCTGCAGATTGGTCTGGGGTAGTTTTTTTTGGTTACCAAGTAAGTTATACTGGATGAATTCCCTCACCCCTCTTTTCTCTCATCTTCACTAGGGAGAACTGGAGAAGTTAAATCAATCCACAGATGATATCAACAGACGGGAGACTGAACTTGAGGTACAGAACTGGGCCCTTGCTCGTTGGTGAAATGGTGTCAGTCACTCACCTTGACTGGTTAATTTTGTTTTAATAACTACAGGGTTACTATGGGAGGCCCCTCCTTGGGGTTGAGCAACTGCAGGCCACTGACAGAATAAAATACACCACTAGGCATCGGGTGGAACACATGTGTATCCAATTTCACATGTTGTTTTTTTTTCTGCATGGACTCTCTGTGGATCCAAAACCCAGGGCTGTGCAGAACATTGCACAAGCTTAAGCCCAGAAATCAGTGTCTGTGAAAAAGCTGAAAAACTTAGGGGAGAATTAGCCAAACTCTTTAATGGAGAAGAATGAATGAGCTCATGACATCTCTTGAATATCTTGGGGCCGTTCCCTGCATTCATGTTTGGGACTGTCGCATGTTTCCTCCGACTTAGATCAGTTTCTTACATTCCTGTGCTAGTAACCCATACTCCCTCTTTCTTTACTCTCTGCTGTGTGTGGAATATAATTATCTTAATGGCAACAAAAAGCTGTTTAGACTGAGAAGGGCTTTCCTGCTGGGAAAAACCTTAGGAGACAAGCTTGATTTTTATTTTATGAGTATTTTTCCAACCTGGTGTAAAAACAAGCTAGTATTCTTCACAGTTACCAATTAGATCCCGCCCCTTTTCAGTAGTTTGTTTTATCATCTATCAGCAAATGTGAACGACCCCAGTTTATATCTGGAAGCCTGTGACAGTCAGCGGGTTGAGGGAATGCAGGGAGTCCTATTTCTGTAGTAGAAGTAGCCAGAAAGGTCAATAGGAAAAGCCAAGAAACATCTGGTCCTTAGGATCGAGGGTTCGGGAAACAGCAATATAATTTACTAGGAATTTGCTGGCAGCTTTGATTTCTGGTTGCATGGGTAGCCCGGGAGATTCCAGATCTGCACATGGCAGTGTGCATTAAAATGCATGTTTTAGGCTGGACTCTGTGGCTCAAGCCTGAAATCCTAGCTGCTTAGGAGGTGGGGATCCAGAGGATCTTGGTTTGAGGCCAGCCTCAAACAAAAAGTTAAAACTAACCCATCTTTTTTTTTTTTTTTGTACTTTTTTTATTATTATTCATATGTGCATACAAGGCTTGGGTCATTTCTCCCCCCTGCCCCCACCCCCTCCCTTACCACCCACTCCGCCCCCTCCCTCTCCCCCCCCACCCCCTCAATACCCAGCAGAAACTATTTTGCCCTTATCTCTAATTTTGTTGTAGAGAGAGTATAAGCAATAATAGGAAGGAACAAGGGGTTTTGCTGGTTGAGATAAGGATAGCTGTACAAGGCATTGACTCACATTGATTTCCTGTGCATGGGTGTTACCTTCTAGGTTAATTCTTTTTTATCTCACCTTTTATCTAGTTCCTGGTCCCCTTTTCCTATTGGCCTCAGTTGCTTTTAAGGTATCTGCTTTAGTTTCTCTGCATTGAGGGCAACAAATGCTATCTAGTTTTTTAGGTGTCTTACATATCCTCACCCCTCCCTTGTGTGCTCTCGCTTTTATCATGTGCTCATAGTCCAATCCCCTTGTTGTGTTTGCCCTTGATCTAATGTCCACATATGAGGTAGAACATACGATTTTTGGTCTTTTGGGCCAGGCTAACCTCACTCAGAATGATGTTCTCCAATTCCATCCATTTACCAGCGAATGAGAACATTTCGTTCTTCTTCATGGCTGCCTAAAATTCCATTGTGTATAGATACCACATTTTCTTAATCCATTCGTCAGTAGTGGGGCATCTTGGCTGTTTCCATAACTTGGCTATTGTGAATAGTGCCGCAATAAACATGGGTGTGCAGGGTGCCTCTGGAGTAACCTGTGTCACAGTCTTTTGGGTATATCCCCAAGAGTAAACTAACCCATCTTAATCAACAGCCTCGGTGGTTGGCGCCTGTCGTTCCAGCTGCATGGGGAAGTACAGATAGGAGGACCATGGTCCAGCAGGCCAGCCCCAGCATAAAGCAAGACCCTATCTCCAAAATAATCACAGTAAAAAGAATGGGGACATGGCTCAGGTGGTAGAGTGCCTGTCCCAGCTAGTGTGAAGGTGCTGAGTTCAACTCCCAGTGCCACAGGAGTTGGGGAAAGTCTTGCTTCTCTGAGAGCTGTGTGAAAGGGTATCTGTCACTAACCCCCATGGACATTGTCCTCTCCAAGGAAAGGAAACTTGAATGTTTATTTTATTTTTTTTCCACTTTTGATAAATTGAGACTCTTTGTGAAGTTGGGAATTGAAACCCGAGCATCTGAGATTTCTAATGCAGTAAACAAAACCCCCACCATTCCTAGAGGGCATTAGTACTTATAATTTTTTGTGGTTGTTTTGAGACAAGCTTTCATAGCCCAGACCTGTGATCCTTCTGCCTCTGCTACCCCTAGTGCTGGGACTGCAGGCATGTACCACCACACCCAGCTACAAAATGGTTTTTACAAACTTTCATTCCATCCTGTCACAGCAGTCCAGAGTTGTGCAGTCCAATATGGTAGCTACTATCGACATATGCTCTTTAAGCTAATTGACATTAAATAAGATGAAAAGTTTAGTTCTTCTGTCATGAAAGCCACATTTCAAGGGTCCAGTAGCCACATTTGCATGTGGCAGATGTTCCAGCAGTGAACATTTGCGTCATCATAGAAAGTTCTGGAATGGTAGGGACTGCCTCCCCAGGGAAGAGGCTCAGAGTCTCATGATTCAATGTCAAGGCCCAGCCAGGACTCCTATCCTAGACCCAGGCATTTTCCGGATCCCATTCAGCTCTTTTTTCTTTCTTTTTTTTTTTTTTTGGTGGTGGTACTGGGGATTGAACTCGGGACTTCAGGAATTTTGTACATGCCAGGCAGGCCCTCTAGTGCTTAAGCCACCTTCAACACCCCTGTCCCACTCTTCTAATTCTCCATCCTAACTATGAATAGACAAGTTGGAAATAGTCCTTTTCTTAAGCACGTAACTTGATTTTTTTGTTTGTTTTGGCAGTGCTGGGGATGGAACCCAGGGACTTGGGCATGCTAGGCTGTACACTGGATGTGTCCCCAGCCCTGGTTTACTCTGTTTTGCTTACCTACTATGTGTCAAACACTGTAGATGGCCCTCAGATGTCTTGGCATTTTTCTTCAGGGGGTAAAAGCGGTTCATTTGTTAAACTCTTTTTAGTTCTGATTTCCGAATTCCATTTGTGAATACACTTAGGTATTTGTGTGTCACAGGAAGCCACCAGACAGGTGTTTCCTGCCTGGCTGTGGAGAGCATTTGGAGCCTGTGCAGGGTGTGCTGAGGGTGACCTGGCTGGGTTGTGTTGCTGCCTGGTCTTCTCATGGCGTTATTATAACCAAGACTGATTCAGAGAAGTATAATACAAGCCGCAGTAGTGATTAAAACACTCCCTAGTAGACACATTAAAAAGTAAAAAAAGAAACAGCAGAAATTAATTTTAATGCATTTGGCTTAACTCAGAATATCCAACCAGATGGTATAATTTCAACATGGAGTCAACATAAAAATGTATTAAGTAGCAGGCTACACTTGCCTCGCACATGCACTGGGTAGCACAGGCCTAATCTGTGTTTCCTGTCAAAGTCACAATTGTGCTGCCAGAGTCTGAAGGAGAGGACTGTGTGTATATATGTCTGTTGGTCTGTCTGTCTGTGTCCCTTCAGCCAAGCCCTGGACACTACCTTTGTATCAGGCATGCTGTTGGATGCTGCAGATGTGTGGGTGAGCAAGACACACAGAGGCCTTGCTCTTGAGGAATTTGCAGTTTGGCTGGGGTGAGGATGGGGAGGTGATTTCTGATGGTTGTAAGTGTGGTAGGAGGGGGACATGCTGGGGACCCTTGAGCAACGCCCGTGGAGGGAGAGCGTCCATGTGCAAAGAGTAGCAGATGGACCAGCAACTGGGGTGTCCAAGAAGTGTGCCAAAGGATGTGGGGCAGGAAAATGAGCCATTTCAATGGCCGGCCCACTCTCGTTATTCGCAATAGTTACGTTCTGTAAAATAGCATCTATCGAATTAACGAATACCGAACCTTTGTTCCTAGGGGAAGCAGAGGGTTGGGATCTTGTGAGCTTCTGTCCACATTTTCATTGGCTGATCGATACATGACCTTGTTTTTCTTAAATATGTGTTTCTGTTTAAAACCACTTATTTAATATTCGTCACTGATTCACTCACGTTGCGCTCAGGGTCTCCTACCTCACAGTTGTTCTCCATCACGCACGTCCCAGCCTCCTGTGCTCACAACACTAGAGAACTCTTCAGCTTTACCCTGCTGGAGCCGTTTTTTAACAGCAAAATCACCAGAACCCCACAGAAGTGTGCAAAACATGGCATTAAACAGACCATAAAAAAGACACTTGTTTATGGAATAAAACAAAGAGACAGAGTGTCACTTCAGTCCACCTCAGCTGGGAACTTGTTTGCTGGGAGACCCAAGATTTCTCTGCTCTGTGCATGTCTATGAATAAGCCCTGCTGCTGATTTCAGGGTTTCATATAAATTCTAACCAGTAGAAAAAGTCACACACGCAGATTCTGCAATTGAGGGTCCCCTTTCAGGCTTCTGTATACTCTGCTGTCTCCATTTCCTTGCCTTTTGCTTTTCCATGATGATCTGGGGTTCATCACCTCCCTTATTGGCCCAAATGGGTGACAGATCTGTGGCAGCTGCTAATTTGCTCACTAACATGGCCCCGTCCTCTGTGGGCAGCCACAGGTCAAGATGTGGCTCCTGGATTTACCCTTATTCCCCATTCCTTTTCTTGACTGTTTAAATCAGAGATATGAGAAAGCCTCTGGATTTGCCTCTGCCCTTATTTGAACAGTGCTGGGTCCCCTTTGTGCTCTGATTTATATCAGACTTCTCAAGCTGCTGATGGAGGGACTTTTTAACCAGGGAGGCTTTGGATATAAGCTGATGTTTCAAGTTAAGAAAATAAACACACTTTCTCACAGGCACATTGGTTAGTTTACTGATTTACTAAGTATT